AAAGTCATCACGTAGAATGGAAATAATGAAATAATAAAAATTAAACATAATAAAATACAATTCTCACGACGTTTCGGCCACAACGCAAGCAGCTGTCCTCAGGTGAAGACCAGGTCTGTCAGAAAGACAGCGTCTAAATGAAACACCACCAAGCTTGGCAGCGTATATTTAAGCTGCTGGGTTGGAGGGGGAAGAGCGCCTTGACAAAGGAATTTGCATATCAAGAGGAATTTAGCATATTTAAGATACAATGTTGAAGAATGGCAGTCGAAGAAGCGTCGATGACATTTTTTTAAGTTTTGAAATCCCATCGACGATACTCGTGCCATTTTTGAGTTGCTCCTGTTTGTGTAACGTATCGCTGACCAAATTCTTTTCCGGAAGTACATTTTCAGAGCCAACGAAACGCCCGTAAAATCGCGGTGGTGTTGACGGTGGTCACCCATTAAATTAGCAACCAGGCCCAAAAACCCTGCTTAGCTTCCAGACAGCCAATGAGGTGCGGGCGCATGCCGCAGTGATTTGCTCGCAGGCGTAGAGTCGGCATTTCTTCTTCAACGCATTTATTGTTTCTGCTTCCATTGTCCACACTTTGAGTTGTTCCGTGTTACTTTGGTGACCCGGGTGATCACACGCGCAAAATTCTCGTCTCTGGAGTTGGTAAGACAAAGGCGATTAAGCGCGATTCTAACGCTCGCGAAGCTCCGTGTGTGCGAGGCAGCGGGGCCCCACACCTACCTGCTGGTTCATGGCGGCCATGGCCCTGGTGACGCCCTTCATGGCCTGGGCCATCGCGCCGTTGGACTTGAGCGTGTGCATCTTGAGGGACACGGCCTGGATGTTGGCTCGCATCACCATGAACTTCTTGATGTGGCGACGCGTGCGCACCAGGTCCTTGGCCATGATCTTGACGGCGTCCTGCCGCGGGCGAGGGTCAGGGCGGTGGGCTCAGGGCGATGGGGTCAACGGAGCGATAAGAAACGCGACAAGGGAGATGGACACGGGCGACAGAGACGGAGAGAGGGCGAAAGACACAGGCAGGAATAACGAGACACACAGAAACAGCGAGAGAGAGAGATCCACACACGAAGAAAGTAGGACACAGAGACCAAGCCATGGAGAGACAAACACAAAAACAGAAAGATCCACACACGAAGGGCACAAGACACACGACAGAGAGACAGAGCTGAGACAAAAATAGAGACACAGAGAGATATGGGGAAAGAGGCACGTACAGAGAGAGAGAGTGTGTCTGTCACATGGAGATGGGCACATTCCATTCCCAAACTCAAAGTTGCCGACCCTTACCCGCCTCCTCCTCCACCCTGCACACGTGTCCCACCCATCACCCTGCACACGTGTCCCACCCATCACCCTGCACACGTGTCCCACCCATCACCCTGCACACGTGTCCCACCCATCACCCTGCACACGTGTCCCACCCATCACCCTGCACACGTGTCCCACCCATCACCCTGCACACGTGTCCCACCCATCACCTGCACACGTGTCCCACCCCATCACCACCTCCCGCTAATCCCGACTCCACCCACAGCGCTTTCCTCCCCACTGCCACGTAGCTTAGCGAGGGCCCATCAAACTATATACCCGTGCTCCCTCACCATGTGGCCGGATTTGGCCATCTTCTTGATCTCAGCGACGATCTTCTTCTCCTGCGTCTGCAGCGTCTGTCTCTCGCGCTCCAGGTCTCTCATGGCGCGCGCGAGGGCTCGCTGGTTCCGCCGCACCATCTGCTCCGGAGTCTTTCTCTTTCCACACAGGCAGTCCATGGCTGGCTGCGACTCTGCAGAAACAACGACGACGCCACAAGGCGCAGTTCAACGACGACGACCACCACGTGGTGGTGACGCGCGCCTGTCACCCGGCAGCGCTGTGGCGAGCGCGGGGCTTGGCCTGGTCGCACACATGTCGTGACAGTCTCGTCGCTTGGACGCCGAGGAGCCGTGCCCTGCACGGCCAGGAGAGGGCGCTGCAGCGAGCGGTGGACTCCTGACAGTGTCCGTGTGTGTGGCGGAGATCGGTGACCCCCCCCATTCATCGCACCACTCCCAAATGTAAACGCTCGTGACGGTGTGCAGGACGTGGGTTCGAATCCCGATCCTGACGCCCGTAGAGTTGGAGTTTGGTCAGCTCTCCCACCACCACCACCCCCCACCACCCCCACCACCACCCCCACCACAACCCCCCCACCACCACCCCCCCCCACAACCCTCACCACAACCCTCACCACCCCCCCACCACCACCCCCACCACAACCCACACCACCCCCACCACAACCCTCACCACAACCCCCACCACCCCCACCACCACAACCCCCACCACAATCCTCACCACAACCCCCACCACCCCCACCCCACCACCCACCAGGGGTGGGACAAAGTCATTGTTATGCAAGTCCAAGTCGAGTCTGAAGTCATCAAATTCATGACTCGAGTCTGACTCGAGTCCAAGTCACATGACTCGAGTCCACGCCTCTGCCACCCACCCCACCCACCCCCCCCCCACCACCCCCCCACCACCACCCCCCCACCACCACCCCCACCACAACCCCCACCACAACCCCCACCACAACCCTCACCACAACCCCCACCCCCACCACCACCCCCACCACAACCCCCCCACCACAACCCCCACCACCACCACCCCGCGTCAAGATGACAACAACAACAAGCAGCAACGTTTAGACAAAACATAAACCACAACAAGTCGTCTTGTGAGCCATGTAAGCGCGTAACAACGACTGCTTCATCACTCAAAGCTGCTCTAGAGGAGTTGTACACCCCGAGCTGTCGCTGCTGTTCAGTGGCCTCAAATACAACGTGTCGCTCCGGATGATCGCTACAAAGTGTGACCTGTCTTCTTGGTTCTTTCGGTAAAGTCACGTAGAAAGGAAGCAATAAATAATAAAAATAAAACATCGTAAAATAATTCTCACGACGTTCGGCCACAACGCAAGCAGCCGTCCTCAGGTGAAAACCAGGTCTGTCGGGGAGACAGCGTCTGTGTGCTGTTTCATTCAGACGCTGTCTCCCCGACAGACCTGGTCTTCACCTGAGGACGGCTGCTTGCGTTGTGGCCGAAACGTCGTGAGAATTATTTTATTGTTTTATTTTCATTATTTTATTATTTCCCTTCTACGTGACTTTACCGAAAGAACCAAGAAGATGAATCCCTGCAGTCACGAAAGCTTTAAATCGAAGTATGACCTGTGTTTTGATTTAGTGCGCTGATCTTAAAGGTGCGTTGAGAAATTATAATTCTGCGACTGATGCTCCTGCTGCTGCTGCTGTAGTGGAGAGACTCGTGCAGCAGCAGCAGCTGTGGCTGCAGGTTCTGCTGGTACGTGTTGTTTATGAAGTTTATTGTGAAAACTCCGTCACAGTTCCTATGATCACTGTTTCATTGCTTGCATGGCTTTATTTTGGTGATTTAAAAAAGTGTATTGGTTTGGCCATGTTTGTTTGTTTGTTGTAGTACAGAATTAGACTGATGGCCTTAATCTAAGTTGTCTTGTGGTTGATGTTGTTGTTTGACTTGCATCCCACTGGGATGTTTGCACACAGTGTTGGTGTACACGGTGCTTTCTCTGCAATATTTTGCTGTCTTTTCTTGGATTTTCTGTTTGCTCTTAGTCACATATTCACTTTAAGATGTTTTCTTGTTCATGTTTTTGTTTTTGTTTGTTGCGGTTGCACCCGATTCAAGAGCCGAATGGCTCACAGGGCTACACCTAGTACTTGAACTTGAACCTCACCACTCACCCCCCACCACTCACCTCGTCACTCACCACTCACCTCACCACTCATCCCACCACTCACCTCGTCACTCACCCCACTCACCTCACCACTCATCCCACCACTCACCACTCTCCTCACCACTCACCACTCTCCTCACCACTCATCCCACCACTCACCACTCTCCTCACCACTCACCACTCACCTCACCACTCATCCCACCACTCACCTCGTCACTCACCCCACTCACCTCACCACTCATCCCACCACTCACCACTCTCCTCACCACTCACCACTCACCTCACCACTCATCCCACCACTCACCTCGGTCACTCACCCCACTCACCTCACCACTCATCCCACCACTCACCACTCTCCTCACCACTCACCACTCAACTCACCACTCACATCACCACTCACCTCACCACTCACCCCCCACCACTCACCACTCTCCTCACCACTCACCACTCAACTCACCACTCACTCACCACTCACCTCACCACTCACCTCACCACTCACCCCCCACCACTCACCACTCTCCTCACCCACTCACCACTCAACTCACCACTCACTCACCATCACCTCACCACTCACCTCACCACTCACCCCCCCCACTCACCACTCTCCTCACCACTCACCACTCAACTCACCACTCACTCACCACTCACCTCACCACTCACCATTCTCCTCACCACTCACCACTCAACTCACCACTCACTCACCACTCACCTCACCACTCACACCCTCCACTCACCACTCACCTCACCACTCATCCCACCACTCACCTCGTCACTCACCACTCACTCACCACTCTCCTCACCACTCATCCCACTCACCTCACCACTCATCCCACCACTCACCTCGTCACTCACCACTCACTCACCACTCTCCTCACCACTCATCCCACTCACCTCACCACTCATCCCACCACTCACCTCGTCACTCACCACTCATCCCACTCACCTCACCTCGTCACTCACCACATCTCACCACTCACCTCACCACTCATCCCACCACTCACTCACCACTCTCCTCACCACTCATCCCACCACTCACCTCGTCACTCACCCCTCACCTCACCCCTCACCACTCATCCCACCACTCACTCACCTCACCACTCATCCACTCTCCTCACCACTCATCCCATCACTCACCTCGTCACTCACCACTCATCCCACTCACCTCACCACTCATCCCACCATTCACCTCGTCACTCACCACACCTCACCACTCATCCCACCACTCACCACTCTCCTCACCACTCATCCACCACTCACCTCGTCACTCACCCCTCACCTCACCGCTCTCCTCACCACTCACCTCGTCACTCACCACACCTCACCACTCACCTCACCACTCATCCCACCACTCACCCACCACTCTCCTCATCACTCATCCCACCACTCACCTCGTTACTCACCCCTCACCTCACCACTCTCCTCACCACTCACCTCACCACTCATCCCACCATTCACCTCGTCACTCACCACTCATCCCACCACTCGCCTCGTCACTCACCCCTCACCTCACCACTCATCCCACCACTCACTCACCACTCTCCTCACCACTCATCCCACCACTCACCTTGTCACTTCTGCTGCTTCGACATTTTTACAACTCCTAGGAGGTGACGTCATCACACCCACAGTGCCATGGGTTGTACTGTTGTGCCAGGCTAGGTACATGAGGAGGTCACATGACAGACCCAGCAGGTGCCATGGGTTGACTGCTGTGCCAGGCTAGGTGCATAAGGTCACGTGACAGACCCTGCAGGTGCCATGGGTTGTCTGTTGTGCCAGGCTAGGTGCATGAGGACGTCACGGGACAGACCCTGCAGGTGCCATGGGTTGACTGCTGTGCCAGGCTAGGTGCATGAGGAGGTCACGTGACAGACCCAGCAGGTGCCATGGGTTGTACTGCTGTGCCAGGCTAGGTGCATGAGGTGGTCACGGGACAGACCCTGCAGGTGCCATGGGTTGTCTGCTGTGCCAGGCTAGGTGCATGAGGACGTCACGGGACAGACCCTGCAGGTGCCATGGGTTGACTGCTGTGCCAGGCTAGGTGCATGAGGAGGTCACGTGACAGACCCTGCAGGTGCCATGGGTTGACTGCTGTGAGAGAGGTGGAGGTGGTGTTTTGTGAATGGGTGAGAGAGAGGTAGGGGGGAAGTGAGTAGGTGAGTGGGTGAGTGAGTGGGTGAGTGGGTGACTGAGTGAGTGGGTGAGTGAGTGGGTGAGTGAGTAGTGAGTGAGTGGGTGGGTGAGTGGGTGAATGGGTGAGTGGGTGAGTGAGTGGGTGAGGTGAGTGGGTGAGTTAATGAGTGTATGAGTGACATCACATATACAAAAGATTGCTTACATTTGTATTATTTTATTTCCATGATAGAATATAGACTTGTCATCAGTGTACAAGTTTAAAAGTCGATACGACATTGGGACGTGGGTTAAAATTGAGTTGACATGATTTGAGCATGCAACAGACAGAGTTAGTGAATAAAAAGCGTGTAAAAATATAAAAATGCATTATAATATTATAAGAGGCCGGAACTCATTTCACCATGGCCATTATCATTTTACCTGAGCATCTTCATGTCCATACCTTCGGATAATTAATAAAATGTATGTGTTTGTGCCAAATGCAGTGTTGCATAGAGAGAGACACACATAGACACACAGAGACACACACACACACACAGACACACAGAGAGAGACACACACAGAGAGAGACATACACATAGACACACAGATAGACACAGAGAGAGACACACACATAGACACACAGAGAGACACACGCACACACAGACACACAGAGAGACACACACATAGACACACAGAGAGACACACACACACATAGACTGCAGGCGGGACTCGAAATTCAATAAATCTACGAGCAAACTTGGAAAGCGGTTGCGAGTAGCAGCAACATCATCAACACCAGCGAACATCACCACACGCCTCGCCAAATAGAAGCTGTTCCAGCCATTACATTAGGGGCGAGTGAATTAAACGTTTGACCAAATATAACGGGCTCATTTT